CCGCGTCTTAAATTCGGGTCAGATTTAACCCGTACTTAGCATTCCTTAGCCCGTGCTAAGCGTTCACGCACGTTTTCTTAGCACGGGCTAAGGAATTTGACCTCTTAGCCCGTGCTAAGGAGCTGTGCGTGAACGCAACTAATATTTTCTAAACACAATTTACACTTGTGGTCAAATTATTAATTTCTTAACGTTCTTTTTATAGTGTCGGTAAGTTTAAAACATTGCTACGATAGTTTCTACAAAGGCGATTATGATAAGGATTACTATTTAATATTAGTGGATAGTGGCCATTTTGGCACTGTTGTAACGTTTTAACATATGTTCCTATGGCAGAGATATTATTATGCCATATCTAAAATTTTAGGCTAGTGAAATCATCGTATATATATTGTTAATAATAGAGAACGTTTTAAAAAATGTCGAAAAATTCAATTTTCTTTAGCATTGTGTTCTATGGAATTGTTATAAAATAGCGATTTCTCATAGCAAGGTCACTGTAACGAATAATGCTATCTGATTGTGCCATAGAACAATATCACCAAGATTGTATTATAAGTTAATGTAATCCAATTTAAAAGAATAACTCATTTAACAATAACCGAATCATAATTCTATACCTACCTCTTTTCATGTGGTAAGATGAGAGTCAGCCACCCCCTAATGAGTCGACACTTGCTGAAGCCTCACTACATTTGGAGTACGACGCCGTATAACGTATCATGTCACCACGTAGAAACGAGGGTTGTATCGCCGAATACGTCGTCATAGCAACCGGATCATACACCGTGGATTTGAAGAAATATGCGCCGCCGTTATTCATGCCATCGCTGAGGGCATATACAGCGTTAGTGACGGCGAACCGCTCTACGTGGTGTAGTCTCCTCATCACATAGTGGGTGAAAACAGTGATAGTACCATCTATGTCACATTTCGTCGCTATACTCACAATAATGTGCTCTGTAAAACAGTTTTTAATATTTATATTCATGAATGTGGGTTAAAACGGCGAATAATACGACGCAATTAACATAAACCTGTCCTGCAATTTCGATTTAATTTGTAAGAACTGAGCCACCGCAAAATACAGACTTAAGACCACAATAATAATGATGCTGATAGATATTA